CGTATTCGACGTTGAGGGCCAGGAACTCAGTTTCCAGGAACTAGACACCAGCACATATGATTTTGATTATAGTCGTGAAGGTTTTGTGCAGAACCAAATATACTTTTTCGAAGAGCCGAATAGAGAGACTTGGTGTACTACGTGCCACAAAGTCCCCAAACAAACTCCTATAGGTTTTGAATTCAGAGTTGTCCTTCTCCTAGACCAGTTGCCATCCAAGGCTATAGAATCCACTCTATCCTGCTAATTACCCAGAGCTGAAGGGAGAAGAGGATTCATATTTTCCCAAGGGTAAGAACACGTAAGTGAATGTAATGGATTCGACTGGAATTCAGTCCGAGCCGCTACCCACTACTCCGCCGTGCCACATAAATTATATATATATATATATATATATATATATATATATATATATATATGAAGCAAATTTTATTTTAGGCAAGCCTGATTGAATAAATTACAAACATTATGTTTGCTTATATTTATCAAAGTCCTTTTTATTTACGAATTTTTGGCTTATATTACTTTGCATTTCTTTCTGAGATCATCATCAGGGGTGCAAATGCTAAGGCAAAAACTATGTAAATTCAGTAATGAATAGCTACACATAGTTTTTGCCTTACCAGTTGCACCCCTGATGATGCTGTAAAAAAGTGATAGAAAGTACTTGGAAAATAAAAGTAATACTCACTGTTACAGTGTATTTCCTGCCTTATTCAATAGTAATATATAGAAAACTATTCGCCAACATGAAAGGATTATGATCAAAATAAGCAGACATAATATTTGTAATTTATTCAGTATATATATATACATATATATATATATATATATAAGCGTCAAACACATGCCGATATATATATATATATATATATATATATATATATATATATATATATATAAACAATAACAAAAACATGTAATAAATCGCTACATAAATGCAATCATGTTTCAGCACGAAATGTGTCTCTTCAGGCGGTAGTGCTCAACTGGAGAATAGACGGCCATTTTATGGTTTAAAATCAGCAATACCCTCAGTACGAGCGGTGGTAAAAATGTTTTATGTAGCAGTTTATAAGATGTTTTTATTAGAATTGTTAGTATATTATTATTATTATTAAACTCTACATATACTTATGAACACTTATATATAATTGAACACTTATATATAATGTCTGGACATTGTTACTAAAATACTTTACACTTATATATATATATATATATATATATATATATATATATATATAAACTTTCTTTGAACAAGACTGACAAAGTATTTTTGTCTAATTTTTATGAAGTTTTTCTTCTATATCTACAAGTATCTTATTATCTGCACTTGGTGAGTGCAAAGATTGTTCATAACTTTGTTAGTTTCTATCGCTTTCGGCTAAACGCTTAGATAATTTCTAGGATTTATTTTTTCAGAAGCACCTTCTCAGACTTGTTCAACGGAAACAGATATTAAAGTGGGATTGATTGCCAAATACCCAACTACACACACACACACACACACACACACACACACACACATATATATATATATATATATATATATATATAAACGAGTTAAATATATTATATAAATAAGGTTTTTGATAACAAGAAGCTCAGAAATTGGAATTGATATAACAAACTGTGATTCTAGAATCATCTAACATTTGGTATACGTGTCATAGTTTTATGATGTAGAGAGGGTACATTGCAGGGTACATGCAATTGACGATTTTAAACACTTCGGATTTACTGATCACTCATCCGTCTCTCTCTCTCTCTATATATATATATATCTTTATATATATATATATATATATATATATATATATATATATATATATATATATATATATATATGTAAAAATATATGGATATAGATCCGACAGTATGAAGAAAAATATATACGGAAAAAAAGCAAAACAAAATCCTTATATACGATTATGCTGTTTTAATGTTAATATGTCGACGTCTGACGTTTCGGTCTAATAAACCATCTTCAGGACATATTCATAAATATAACATTATCAATACAATATGACAAATGGTCTTTGTCATGTTGTATTGATAATGTTATATCTGTCGTTTGCAGAGTGGGAGCCTATAGCTGGCTGCCGCGAATAAGCAGGAAGATTCTATTGGCTAGCGCGTGAGCCAACAGTTGACTGACACGAATATTAACTAGTATGCTAGCATGCAAAAAAAAAATCGATAGCTGCATACGTCACGAGTGGGAAAAATTTAAATCTGCATGGCACTTTATTCCAATTGGCTCATTCGCTTGCTTAAACTCAACGTTGATTCTGATTCCGCAGAACTGGGTTGGGTGTGAAAAAGTATTTGTTGTTAACATTCTTTTTTCATTCGGTTTTTCCAGTTACGAGTCCTTTTTTTAAAGCTGATCGTTTTGTGTTCATTTTGTTTAGTTCTTTTTTCGTAACAGATTTAATGTTTAGTATTAAGCTTCGAAAAAATTCGCAGTGTGAGATAGGCAAGAAGTAAGGAATGTAGCAACATCAGCACGTCAAAGGGCACTCCTTTAAAGGCAAGGAAGGGCAAAAATATTTTAAGTTAAATGATAGCGATTGCTGTGTGAGTCGTACGATTTTTGAATCAAGCACGGGCAACGCCGGGACATGCTGCTACTATATATATATATATATATATATATATATATATATATATATATATATATATATGGGTATCAAGCGACTATTGAAAACCTAATTTTGAAGCTAATCTTAAGGGGGTCGCATCCTAGACGACATATAAAATTAGAGTATGTACTGCTGACCCTAGCTACACCATTGACCAAACTATGTATCCATTTACTGTAGTATTATATTTAACGGCCAAGGAAGGTGTGCTATAGCTTTTGAGGTGTTTTTCTGGTCTCGAATAAAATATTTGATATGTGCAACAAAATGTTTGATATGTGAAATAAAGTGTTTGATAGGTCGAAACTTGCAAAATAGTTTGCCAAAATTATCTTTTATGTTTTGGGTTTCGACATTTTACGTTTTTCCTTTGATAACGAAGAATTCTGGTCGACAGTACTTGGAACACACACACACCCGCACGCACTGACACCCATATACATATGTGTGTGTATGTGTGTTTATGTATGAGCGTGTGCACGTGTTAATAAAAGCCTTATTGTTGGAAATCAGTATTTGATTTTTTATTTATTTACAGTGATACAAAGATTGGACCTTACTGCTCATGACTCATACTCTATCAATTGCCCAATGCAAGGCTATTTTAGTGTAGTGAAAATTCCATACAAAAATACAATGTCTTCTACCCTTTGCAATAGTATTTTTTTCTACATTTCTTTTTAAGTTACGGCAAATATCTAATTCTATTTTTTTTTTTTACTCCTGTTATTTTATTTTTGTTGAAAACTAACAGCAAGAAGCATTTTAAATATAATCATAAAGATGTTAGCAACGGCAAACAAAGGTTCCATTTTTAACTCCTTTCTTTGCAATATTGTATGTATAACTGATGACATGAAATATTTCTAGCTGCCCGCTCCCCCAATTTCAGAAATATCCACACCCACGGAATAACAGACAACGAAAGACTAATCAAGTCGATTGTACATCCTTCTTCTTTACTCATCCAACAACGGCGAAATTTTACAATCGGTATTTATTAAAAGAGTAGCAGGCATTGAAATTCGTTCTTGGTTCTTCACACTAAAAAAAAACCCCAAAAAACAAAAAAACTTGAAAATAAAAGGTAGCGAAAAAAAAAAAATTATAGTTATTTTTATAGATTTTTCTCTTCATCTAGAAACACCCAGCTTCGTAGTTGAGGGCATATTTCAGTCTATTGGTTAACAAACAATGGTAAATGTCTTCTATATTGGTTCTTGCCTTCCACACACTAAACATTCCCGGTTTTTCAAATTTTTCATTATAGAAAATCAGAATAACGTTGGCCATATTTATCGATATTGATTAAATCCCAAAGAATGTATCGATCTCACTGCAGTCGTACTAGTTCGATAGGCTATATTGTTACACTTTAAGCTGTGTCTTTAATAAGCATCGTCCAGGGGTGGCCATTCTTGCTTCATATAAGACGCACATACAATAAAGTTCAGATATATACAGAATTTATATCTGTATATATATATATATATATTTATATATATATATATATATTTGTGAAAATATATAGAAAATAGGAAAGAACTGGTTAGGTAGATCCAAAGTTCCTTAGTATTTTAGTTATTATTTTTAAAAAATAGTGCTCGATACAAATGTAGAGCATAAATATAATTATTTAATTCAATTTATTTCAAAAAATTATATTGAAGTTTTCAGCTCTTGTTTTGAAACATGAGACCTCTTATGTCGCGAGTTGGAATCATATTTTTAAATAAATAATTATATATATATATATATATATATATATATATATATATATATATATATATATCTGTCTGTATTGTTACTATTTGCACTATTTACATTGTCCGGATTGGTGTCCTTATATTTATTGTCATATTCGCGACGTTTCAGCCGTTGTACACTCCGGCTTTCTTCAGGTAATATACGTTGGAATTTAGAACCGAACTTTATGTGTATTGAATAAGCATTAGATAAAATTAAGTGTGGAAAACAACATCCCTCATTTTCATTGAGGCATTTTTGAAGGCGTTCTTGGGAGTTGGCCTCCACTCTTTCTAGCCTTGGTTTGCCGATTTGGACGCGTTCCACGCGAATAGCTTCCTTCAAATCGTCTAATGTACGGAACACGAGATCAATATTGACAATTCTGTTGATTCCCCATGCCAATGAGATGAAAAATAAGCTTCATCACTCATTACCAAAATGAGGTTGTCATTTGCCCCCAAAAATGCTTCCCTTCTGACGTGCGAAGTTAAGCACATAGTCTCCTGGTCACAACTGTTGCCCAATGACCAATTTCTAGGGGTGGAATTGCAGATTGAGCAAAATACGCCTTACTGAACGATTATCGATGTCAAGTTCAGTATCATGCCTCCGAGTAGAGCGATTCGGACTGTGCAGCAAATCTTGTCTGCTGCGTCCATATTTTCTGAGGTACGTACCGTTCGTGGGTTCGCCACCGGTCTGCTAATCCTTAGTGTAATTTGAACCCAACGTGATATTGTGTTACGAGTAGAAACAGCCTAATTTCGGCGAGTGTGGAATCGACGACTGAACTCCCGTGACAGACTCGTTTTACTTCAGAAAACTGTGGTAGGCAAACACCTAGTACTCTATCATCCATAACGCCATGGCTTCAACTGTAAAGAAAAAGAGTATGCTAAGACACCGCGGACTGAACGGTACACGTCGGATATATGTCCCGTCCCCTGGGGTTGATTAATAACCATTTCAAAACGACCGTCTTCTCTGCTTCGCCATATATATAGGTACCGTTGGTACAGTTGGTATGGCGTTTGCCTTCTACCGTAAATGTCCAAGTTTCAATTCTTGGTAGAGGATGCGTACTGCTGATGAGTCCCAAATATAGGATCAAACGGCCGTCCAGTGTATTCTGTTGAGGTTTCTTCTAGACACGACGAATGATTAGTTCAAATCCTCCTGATTATTTCTATCAGTCATATATATACGTATGTTGAGGTAAATTTTGTTTTTTTTTTACATGTAATTAATATATATATATATATATATATATATATATATATATATATATATTGAGGCGATTTTTTTTTTTAATATATATATATATATATATATATATATATATATATAATATTAGTGGAAAATATACATACATAGGCAAAATATATAAATACCCATACATGTATATTTTTAGAAAAAAAAATTCCAAGAGGAAGAATCCATGTATATACACATATATATGTTATTGTGTGTATTCGCATATGCTTTTGAACATAGAAATATAGGTCCTTGCTGGATTAGATAATCGTTATATTTATCTTTGATTTGTAACCTGTAGTCGATATTAAATTTGTCAAATTTTCTCAATTACAAAGCGGCCCTTTAAGTAAACGCAATTTTACTTTCCTTCGTCCCATCTCTTTCCCCCACCTCGTCTTTCCCTCCCTCTTATTCTAACATTAGATTGTCTATGGTGTGTATATGTAACCACGAAATGTATCTTTATGCATTAGACATCCGTCAACATTCATTCTTTTCTCTTAATTAAACCCCTTCCACCCATCTCTCCTAAAATTCTCTCTGTTAAGGTTTAATCTCCCTCCTCCTCATACTTACACTCTCTCTAAATTCTGTTTTTATTTCCGCAGTTGTTTTTTTTTCTGTTTTCTTTTTGAATTTGTAGGTCTGATGAATTGGATCGTATTTACGATTCCAATGGAATAAATTATGACCATGGAATATTAGTGTTTAAGCCTTTTTACTATATATATATATATATATATATATATATATATATATATATATATATATTTGAGGCGATTTTTGTTTATATATATATATATATATATATATATATTTCGGCAAAAAACAAAAATTACCTCAACATAGATATCGTCTATTTCAAACCTTTTTTTTTATACAGCTATCGCCAGCCTCTATGTGCTTGTCTCTGAGGGTCGTTCTAAAGTTATTTTTAAAGTCAGTATTCCTCTAGTCGGCGCCTTGTTAATGAGAGTTAGTTTGTGTTAGCGACTGGTGGTGGCTTAAAGAGAATGAATACACATAGACATTCATTCGCCAATCAAAAATTAAAACACCAAACAGGCCTTTCGAAAAAAAAATTGGGGGAATTGAAGGAAAAGGGTCTGAATTCTCAAATAAATTGAAAAATTCTAGGTTTCGTGAACATCCCTCAATAGTTTTAGGGGTAGGTACAATCTATGTTTAGAAGAAAAAAAAATCAGGATAATAAAATATAAAGATCAATGCAAAGTATTAAATCAACGGAGAGAACTAATCACTAAATGTAGACATAGAAATAAATTCCAAATTACATAAGAATACATGCGCATATATGTGGGGGTGTATATATACGTATAGTGTCATGTATGTGTTGAAACTTGACTAATGCATGTAATAATAATGCAACACAAAAAGTACTTAGAACAAAATGTATTGAAACAAGAAAGTGTACACAATGTTTACATATAGTCTTTTGTATATTCCTGGTAAGACCGTTCCTGGAGAATGTGTTGACTGAGTCGCAGTCGGGCAGAGTCTCTGGTTGAATCTCTTGATTCTTCCCTCTCTTCCCGGTACCAACCATATTTATATGGTCGGTACTCCACTATGCAAATTAGGTGGATCCTACCACAACAGTATGTATGATCATGTAAATGTACAGATATGTGTATGTATAAAGATATGGACGTATATAAGAGTGTTGGACAGCACGAGTTATTACATTAAATTTAAATCCTCCATCGCTTAGTAGTACAAAAAGTATTTACTGTGAGTCCCAGGAAAAAAAAAACACTCCCCGGGGCCGTTAGAAAAACATCACATAGTCGGAACAGATATTAAACTAAACAAAAATCTGGCCATAAATAAACTATAAACCCAGACCGCTTCCCACGGGATAAGATACCTTACGTAACGTAGATAACTAAGTTGGCGTTGTCGAGAGATTTTTTTTAAGAAGCAAGTATTAAAAATATTACTGCAAACCTCGATATTTTAAACTGTCGACTGCAAAAATTCTGAAACATTTGTGCTGTATTCATAATTAATTTTATAAACGGTTTCTTTTCATTTTAATGCAGCTTCAAGAATTTTTAGTTTATGCTTATTATTTTCATGAAAATGTTTAGATATTTAGATTTTATCAACAATTTTTCCTGTAT